TACCCGGCGTTGATGAACACGTCACCGACGTTGATGAACACGTCACCGGCGTTGATTTACGCGTCACCGGCGTTAATTCTCGGTAATCTCTTTCGTCGCAGTTTCGTGAGAGAGAGACGGCGGATCTAACAGAGAGAAACAAAATAGAAGGTAAGTTAGGGAAGGGTAGTATTGTCATCTTGTCATTAATGAATTGTGTATTTATGAAAATGTCCCTTGAATTGTGGTAAACTTGAATTGTGGTATCACAAAAATGGTAGTTATGCAATTTTCCCTACAATATTTTGGAGCTTTACATATAGTTTTATTTTAGGTCTTATCAATATAATGTTATCTATATAATTTTAATCTATTAGAGTTTCTTTTATAATTTCAGTTTATATGATATATATTATTGTGGTATATGCTTAGAATATCTAGATAACAAACAATTGTGTTAAAAATATTCTATGATTTTAGGCTTTCTATAATTATTATTCAGTTCGTTTATATTGTTTATAATCGGTATAATAACTATAGATGATTATTTCTTCTCAAATACGTGAAGCATAATAACTATAGATGATTATTTCTTCTCAAATACGTGAAGCAACTGACCATACGATTATTTATGATATAGATTCATAAGATTTGATTTTTAAATTTTAATCTTTCCAAAATACTAACCAATAAATTTGGTTCGAACATTGTATAAACCGGTATTTTTAATCTAGGATTATATCATATGAAATGTTGGTTTTAACAAGAGATTGAGAGATTGTACTAATTTTGTCATTAACATCCATGAGAGATGAATGACTGATATGAAACTTATCGGGTTCATCATTTGCTAAATGTTATGTCATGTGAATTATTATGTTATCGGTTTGTTTATTAGAAATCTAATGGTCAATTAAATTGCTAATTTATATCTTATCTTATGTCTGGTTGATAAAATTTTGCAAAGATATAGTTATATTTTGCAATTTGGTAATGAATCAGGTGGTCTACATGTCATAATTGGAAACCATATAGTAATGATTAAAGGTTTTAAAGTACATAAAATAAAATTGAAGTTTTGTTGTGTGATACTTATAATCGATAATAATATCACTAAATCTCTTAATTAATCTTCAAGTCTAAGTTTTGCATTTAAATTTAGTTAAACAATAATTTATTTGTTATGATACTATTAGTTAAATAAAATCATACATCTAATAAAAGAATTAAAAATTGTCTAAATAAAAAATCATCGGTGAAATAAATCATTAATTCTGTTTTAACAGATAATTTTTTATTTATTTTTAAATTAGGAATTTAAAATGAACATCTGTTTTTAACACAATCGGTTTAAAATCTTTGTAAAATGTATTTTCAAAAATTAGTCAATTTAAATTGTTATTATCATTAAAATATAATTAAATTCTTCATGAAATTTTTTGATAATTAGAATTTAATTTAACTAATTTTCAGAAATAATTTTAAAAAGATTTTTTTTAAAAAAACTCATTTGTATTTCAAATAAAAAATAGAGATATTATAGTTAGAATATGAAAAAGTTGTTAAAATTTTTAAAAATGGTCTAAATGAAAAAAAACACATGAAATAAATTTTGACTTATGTTTTGATAGTATAGATAGTCTTGTATAGGAGACTTTAAAGCCTTGCCTGTCTGACAAAAAAAAAGATTAAATAAAGGAGGAGGCTGAAGTGTGTATTAGGTGTGACAAAACACACAATGTTAGGTGGTGTGGGAAGAAGTATTGACTATATGAGCACATTGCTTCCTGCATCGAAGATCTTGTATAATTACCAGGTCAACCCATTCGTTGGGCTCGGATTATTTAAATAAAGATGTGCAGAAAAGCTTATCTAGCCGTTAGAACACACAATAACTTGGAAAGAAAGCTGTCTATGTGCCGGAAGCAATATAACAAAACGACCACTCTCTGTTTTCAATTCCACAGCAAAGATCCAACAAGTATCGCACGTTCAATTATGCTTTCTTCATGTAATATAACAAGAAATTCCTATGAAACAATCCATTTTCAACTTTATAAGTAAGAAAACTGCTAGCAAAAGATGCAAACCCTCAGTTTCTCATAGACAGTCAACGTCGTGGGTACTCACTCCATCCCCCACGTTGATGTTTTTGTGTGTGGCTAAGACCATAACATCTGACTCAAGAACAGCAGAGCTAGGGAGATATGGGAACTACCGGTTTAGCCATCTCCTCAACCGGGAAGCCACTCCTTGAGGAGGAGGGGGAGGTGGTATAAGAACATCGAGAATGGTAACTCTCTCTTTTGGAGTCAATGAAACACCTCTAATAAGGTCCAACGCCATGATGTGAACATTTGTCCTTTGCCTGTGCTTACTGTAAACCAACCCTGCAGCAGTACCTCCAGCAATCAGAACCTGTCGTAACAAAAACACCCAAACTCCATTAAACTAAATGTCCCCTTGAATGATTGTGGTGTTATAAATTAGTTAAACTGACCGGAGTTAACCACAATGCAGCGGTCTGCATATCAAACTTTGGGGCATAAAGCACCGTCTCCCCAAACTCATCCTCGAGCTTACTGTATATCTCTTTGTCAGTTTTTCCAGCTCCTATCTCATCACGAATCAGCTGCAAGATTCACGTGTATCAGAACAAGAGACAATTCAACTCATCATATGTTGAGTAACACAAGCACCTGTCTGAGGAGAATAGCGACATCTGCCTGTGAGTCTTCAATAGACTGACTCCCACACTCAGTGCAACGAACATTGTGACTGATGTTTCTGGCTCGAGCGTCTAGCATCTGAGCCTTCTTCAGATCCTCGTCCTTTTTCTCCATTTTGCTGAAAATATCAAGATATCGAGTTTTGTGAGTTTTCACACAGGCATTTCGTCGAACACTTTGTGAGCAATACATCAAAAACAATTCATAGACCGAAAACGAACGGAACCCAAGTTAATATGTGAAGGGAGAACCTGAATGGAGGGGAAGCCAGAGAGATTCGAGAAACCGATTAGTCCACCCTTTGACCAGATATCAGCTTGCAGCCGGAAAATGAAACCTTTCGCTTGCGAATCTTCGAGCAATACTGCAGAAATTAAACACTCTGTCCCTCCGTCAGCAATAGGCGCGACGATCCACGATTCCTAGCCAGCGCCGTTTAGAGAAGACACGTGAAGGAGCGTGCAACGTGTGGTGTAAAGACGTGCTTCGCGCGTGAAGGGGACATAAACATGGGCCTGTCAAATATATAGTAATATTGGGCTTTGTTATTGCATTAAACCAGTGGTTTATCAACAATATATTTTATTTCTTTATTGTAAAATTTTGAAATTGTAATCAACAAAATTATTTTATTAAATTTAAAATAAGATAATAATTTATTAAATAAAGAAAAATTATTCAAAATTAAATTTAAAATAATTTACAATTTATTAGATAAAACAAAAAAAATTATTAAAAAATTAACGGTTTTTAGCCCATATGATGTTTGCAATCTCATCATGGTCAATTATTTATACAATATTTTTAGTTTTTAACAGATTAATAATCTATTAATAGTAAAGTATGACTTTTTCTTGATGGTAAAACCTAATTTAACTAATGAAAATGAATTTATAAATCATTGTATTTATTTTTTCTTTCAATTATTATACTTTTTAAATCTTTCATAAATGTTTTCAATTATTTATACAAAAAAATTTAGTCTTTAACAAATTAATAGTCTATTAATAGTAAGGTATGATTTTTTCTTGATGGTAAAATGTAAACTAACTAATGAAAATGAATTTATAAATCATTGTATTTATTTTTCTTTCATTTATTATACTTTTTGAATCTACCCTAAATGTTTTCAATAATTTATATTTTTTAGTCTTCAACAAATTAATAGTCTATTAATAGTAAGATATGATTTTTTATTGGTGGTAAAACTTAAACTAACTAATAAAAATGAATTTATTAATCATTATGCTTATTATTTCTTTATTTTAGTAAGAAATGAGCAAAAGTCAAAAATAAAAATAAATCACGTTTTTTTATCATAGCAAAAAAAAAAGAGTGTGTTGTAAAGTCTCAAAAGGTGGCTGTAGAAAAAAATGAACAAAAAAACAGTTTTTTAAAAAGTGGGCTTTAGTGGCTTTACAAATTTCTAAAGCCTTGGCAAATATTTGGCTTTAGTGGCTTTACATAACCACAAAGCCCTCAAAGCCCACACACCAATCAGTCTCCTAAACATTCAGCTGAGCCAAGAAGGAACATACCGTATATAGAAAGCAAACACAACACAACATCATACGAGGGAAGAAAGCGTGATTGAAAACAAAAACACCACATTGATAACTCATTTCTCTAAACAAAAGTGTTGGTTATGGGTCTGTGCTTTTCTTCTTCACTTATCTCTCTCTGTCACGTGTACCATAATATGAGCAAAGGGGTGTCATATTCACTCTGAAGAGACTAACGGCAAAGCTTCATGGTGTCTATGATCTGTTGTCTGGCCATGGAGGCCTCAGCTCTGTTCTTTTAATGAGATAGTCCAGTGGGTGTCTGGTCATTATTTGTGAAGACCGATTGACCATACTAGACAAGTAGAAATGCAGTGAAATATGTATACTCCTTCATATTACAGACATATGATAACTTCCGTCTTTGCTTCTCTGCTGAGAAGGAGCAAACTCAACAACACAGAGAATTTTAGCAAAAAAAAAAAAGAAAAAGAAGAGAAAGCAATTAATCTCCTTTTCTCCTTTCCGGTGGCACTGACTCTACACACAGAAACTGTCAACAACAAAGGTCTAATATGTTTCTAAATGCCTATGACAGACCGAGAGCCGATGTGACTCTTTCTTCCCTCCACAAAACATGTTGGAAACAGTCTCCAACAACAAGCTATATAGTTCAATTTGGGATATGATTCTTCAAGAACAAATAGAGAAGAGACATGCCTGCAAAGAGCAGCCGCCAGCGCAGCTTCATCGCTTGCATAACTCCCTGTACTAGTACTATAACCAATATCTTTGAATTTGAAACAGAACAGAGTCATTAGTTCATGGGACAAAAACAGGAACCGTAAATAAAAAGAGATCGCATTTCATTCAGTTTCACGTCTAACAGACGACACATAAGCTTTTGCCACAATTGCTTATAGAGCCAAAGGTCAGACCTTCAGGGACAAGCTGCTAAAAACACTTTATTTATACACACAACTCGTGGAACTCTGTCAAGACTCTTAGACGAATCCTTCAACCAAAATCGGCTTCATCTCCTCCTCTTCGTCTTCTTCACTCTGATCCTTCTCCTCCCTACTACTCTCCACACCTTCCACATCCAAACCCTTCAAACCATCACCACAGCTCATCCCTTCTCCTCTTTCCCCCGCCACCACCAACTCATCCCCTCCCTGTCCAGATTCAACCAACTTCCCATTTCCCTTTCCGACCAAACACGGCCCAGTATCCCTTTCATCGTCTCCGCCCACAATGATCGTGTCAGAAGCTTCCGGAATAGGCTTCGTCTCGCTTCCTTTCGATGCAGGCTTCGGATCAGCTACACAACCGCGTTCTCCTTCTTCCTCGTCGTGTTCGAAAAGCGACGCCGCGCGCGACTTGACGGCGTCTGCGGCTTTACGAAAGGCTTCGTGTATAGATTCCGGTGGTAGAGCACAATCTTCGAGCCCGGCGTCTGCTAAGGCAGGTGGGAGGATCTTGTCGAGTAAGCCGACTCTTTCTTTCGCTGCCTCCATAGATACAGAGATTCAGAGCCCTCTCTCTTTCTGTCTTGTAAATTATGAACCCTTAATTTCAATATTTTTAATGTTTTCGAAGGTCCGAGAAAGGAAAGGGCGGGGAAAAGGGTATTTCTGTCATTATGCCAAATGGGTTGGTTCATAATGTGTCTTAAAGGCAACTAGACCATGACCCGACCGACCGGACGGGTGTTTTGTTTTCTTTTAATTTTTAATTTTTAGGTTTATAATAAATGATGTAAAATAAAAAATGAAGTATCAATTAAATGGGTTACAAATTACTTATGGATTTAATTTTGATAGAAGAATACCGAAAAGTTTGTTGTTTGATCCGTGCAAGTGTTTGTTTTTATATATTTTATAAGTGATAATATATATTTCTAAATTTATCCGTTTAAATAATTCTTTAAAATGACATTTCAAACACAATTTATAGTTTATATTGAGTAATTTTATTTTATCTTATAAACTATCATTGTGTCATACTTATTTTAAAAATATGACTCGTATATCTCCACAAATGTTTTTATTTTATTTTTATGGATTAAAATTTTATGATAACGTATAACTAAATTGGTTTATTTACTATTTAAAATATATGGTCCTATATATTTCTATTTTTTAACTTTTATTATTCTGAATTTACCTTGAACTATTATTTATATTAAAATATACATAACATGATATGTTTATATTAATCTTTTTATTATATATTATATAAATGTTTCTTTTTGTGACTTTTATTTTATTTATTACTTATAAATAATAAAAATATAATTATATATCTTTGGAAAAAATATTGTTCATTAACTATTTAAAGATATGTAGATAATTGATAAGAAAAAATCCTAAAAGGTATGTTAATTAATATTGGAATTAATTATTATGTATATGGAATTAGTAAAACAATTTCTATATAATTTATTTATTTAATTACGAAAGGTATATAAGAAAATAATTATTTTCATTAATTATTATTGGCATAATTTTTTTTAGTTAAAATTTGATTTTGGAAATGCATTAATTAAAGTGAAAAGACAAAGAATCTTATAAAATAGGGTAATTAATAACTTCAGTGACATAAAAGTGTAAATAAGTTGAAAAACTCAGAGGTATTTTATATGGGTACTTCTCTTTTAATAATAGAGATTTAGCAGTTGAGACGTTCTGGAGCTGTTGCTACTCTCTGCGTCCCCGGAAACGGAACAGTCTTTCCTACCAGTTCCTATTGTCTTTCTTCTTATTGCCTTCAAACAATCCAATTGTCTGTACACAAACATTGACTCTTGAACCTGAACTGGATACGAGTACATCTTTGAATTCTTAGGGGAAGAGCCTTGGGAGTATCAAGTCCATTATCTGCTTTGGTAAATACCACTAACAACAACTCTCCTTTCTTCTTGAGGCTCTTCTCATGCAGTCTTGGCTGCCGCAGAGCCATTCGAGGAAGCCAAGAGAAGAGGTGACATGTTGTCGCAGAAGATGAGAGACGTGGAGCATGTATCAGATGTACAAGAAGCGCTTAGATGCTATTCAAGCATAAGAAGCCCTGTTTATCTTGACATTGTTGACAATTTCTACACTGATATGTACTAAGAGTTCTCTTATTCGCGAATTCTTCTAGTGTCAACGGATCAAGAAGAAAAACAGGCTTTTTCAGACTCTAAGAACCTCTCGATTTGAGAGCCAGGGTAAAGCTATTTTGTTTAGTTTATGTATGTACATAAACAGAGTTGTTATCCATCTCGCTGCACATATATTTCACTTTTCTGATAAAAGTTTCTAAAACCGGACAATGAGATGCAGAAACATGACAGTTCATACTGAATCCTGAATCAGAACTACGAGTCAGTATCAGGTTAGAAACCATTTTTCTTCTTTTATTATGAAAAAGTTGTTAAAGCCAACATATGTAAGGAAACATGATACAAGTTACACAACACACGAATATCTGTTATTAAGTTGATAAATTTGCACTGTCATCATATTCATGCTTCATGGATAAAACGGATCATTTCTTGCCGCTCTTCTTAAGTCCAGAGCCTCCAAAGGATCCCTTCTGTGACGCCTTGGCTCTTAGTTCCTTAAGTGCCTGTTTATCATTCCCGTTTAGAAATAAAATGGGTTAGCCTTTCAATAACAAAAGATTCCTATCCGTAAAGTAAGCATATATATATTTCTTTTGGCATCATTGGGACAAAGTGAAGCATCTTTATTTTAGCATCATTGGAACAAAGTCAAGAAAGCATCTTTATTGCTACGGGTCAGCGTTCACATTTCATCAAAGTATCGTCAAAGTAAGCGTTCTAGCCAATATTACCTCCATGATTTTATTAAAAGGGAATCCGTAATAGATATCTAAACCAACTAGGCATCAACCAATCAACAAAACTAACCTAACCCCATCTTGTTGCAGTGGCCAGCTCTATTGTCATTACCAGTGTTCAAATTTGACAAGGTGATCAAACTGACAAAGTGGCACTTTATAGTAGAAAACTCATCTTCCTTAAGCAGTAGCTCACTAACGTAGATTATACAATCTATGCTTGAAAAAGAAGAGCCAAAACAAAGAAGTCTAACATGATGCGATTTGAGAAACACATAATATAAGCAAGAAGAGAGGAAACAAGACAGAACATCACAGTGGGAACTAACCTTTTCCTCGTCTTTCTTCTTCTGCAGGTTGGCCATATCATGCTGCAGCAAAGCCAAATCAACATCCCAGAAATTAGAATGTGTAAAAAGAATAACTAAGATCATTGATATACAAATTAGAAGGTAATATCAAACATGCCATGGAGTCAAGAGCGTATTAGACCGGAGCAAGATCTCAAGTTCGAGAATTCAAATGAAGTTTCAGAATCAAACTATAGATCCAGAGTTCAATACCATCGTTTCATTCAAGGTTTAAAGCTACCCAATATTAAAAAAAAAAACGATCCAAGATTCACACTTTTCTCTCAGTTCACAGAAAAAGGTAAAGGTTAAGTAAGAGTCACCTCATCGTATTCCTTCTTATCAGCCTTTGGCTGCTTCAAAGGTTTAGCCTTTCCTCCTGTTTATTTAAAAAAAAAAATGATTTACTTTATCCCTCTTATCGCAAACAAGCCACCGACACATATCGAATATCATAAACAAGAACATAAATCATGACAGTACCTTGCTTGGACGACATGACTGGTTTGAAGAGCTAGGTCTTGATGCGAATTTGGGGAAAACGAGTAGAGGGGTTGGTAACGATGGACTTGCAAATAATAATTCGGTAGAATCAGAGATTATATAGAGTTCGTAGTAACGACGCAAACCCATAAAATGGTCTCAGAAGAGATTATGGCCTGAAAAGCCCACTTTATATTGGGCCCATTCACCAACTCGACACTATGTGGAGTGGGAAACCGTAATCGAAGACGCAAGTCTTCAAATCGAACCGTATTTATTAGTTTGAGTAGTGGAACCGGTTGCGATCCTATTCTTTTATACGCTCCAAAACAGAAGCTGACCTATGGGCTCTTTCATGGGCGGTTGAATGTCTACAAAACCTATATTTCTCAAATATCATCTTCGAAACTTTGTTGGAGAGCCTCCACAACGCTTTCACAAACTCTGATCGATACCTTAGCTTCAGCCATATCCGTCACACTATCTTGTCTCTCCTTGCACGAATAAATTCATGGAGTTTGAACCACGCCCTCCCTGATCGTAATGAAGCTGCTACAACAGTTGTCAAAAACGTAAGTTGTGATCGGCGACTTCAGTCTTACATCGCCCACAACTATCCACCATGACTACATCACCTACTCAGTTTGGAGGCTCCACAAGAAAGGGTTAGGTGAGGTCTCTTTCATTTTTCTTGGTGTCTAATGACACATCTCATCTCATTTTGTTTTTGTTTTTCATCATTGTTGTAAACTTCATAAGGATGGTTAAAACAGTGTTATAAAAAAAAAGTAGTGGAACCGGTTTACAACATTATTGTATTCGGTTTTCGCTTATTGTTTTTGGATAAGACTTTCTAGAGAAGAGATTTATAAAAGTCAAAAGAGAGACCCTTCCGCTCCACTCGAAGATCAAACGATCGCCTGTGGAGGTAAAAATAAGGGTTTAGGTCAGTGATATGTTTTTGTTCATTCTTCGATTACTCGATTAAATTTCTTCATCTAGGGTTTCGATTTACGAGTCCCTTCTTCTTTTCAGGTTTCTCTCGAGATAGAGAGAGAGAGTTATGGCGCAAGCTGACGCGGGAGAATTGGAGTATGAGAGTGATCCCGAAGAGATTAAGCGCTCATTGGCGACTAGGAGGAGAGAAGCGAGTGATGACGACGAGGACGATGAAGAGGTTAGAAGTCGGAGGGCTGAGATTGATTCCGATTTTGACCAATCTGATAATGAACATGTTGATGATGACGAAAACAAGAATCAAGATGGAGAGGATAGTTATGAGGATGAGGAGGAAGGTGATGATGATGAAGAGTATAGGGAACATGAAGAAGTCGATGATGAGAGGAAAGGTAATGTGGTGAAGTCAGCTGAAGATGATGCGGTAGGTCATGTAGATGGAGAAGAAGATAAGGAGAAGCAATCGTCTGCAGTGCCAACAGGTGGAGCTTTTTATATGCACGATGACAGGTTTCAGGAACTGTCTGCTGGCCGAAGCAGGTAACACTCTTTTCACTATTTTCTCAGTTGCAATTACTTTTATTGGAGAGATAACTAGAATGAAAGGTTTTTTTTTTTGCATTTGGGTTTGCTATGATTGATTTAGTCAAGTTCATGCTATTAGCAACAGGAAAAAAGAAAAAGTTCTGAATACTTATTAACTCTTCCTGTCTTTTGTCTGTCGATTCATGGTAATGTCTATTGATATACTTCTTATTTTGCGTTTCATAGGCGAGGGCGGGGTGGAAGGAGACCGTGGGGATCTGGAGAGGAAAGAAAATGGGGACATGACAAATATGAAGAGATGAATACTCAGGAAAAACATCATGATGTACAGCTTCCCTCTACGCTTTTTAAGATTTTTTTAAATTCCTGTCTTTTTATGTGTATGTGAATATGTTTGCTTTTTTATGGTATTTATGGTTGCACTTTGTAAATTCACCAGAAAACCTCTAGAGGCGGATTCAGAGGCCGCGGTCGAGGTAGGGGACAAGGGCGTGGATACAATAGAGGGAGAAGCTCTAACGCATCATCCAGCAATGGACATCAAATTTTTGTTCCTAAAGCTACCACACAAGGGGGAGAGCCCAGAAAAGATGAGATTCCTCTTAGCAAAGGCAGTCAAACACATTCGGTGCAGACCAAACCGTGAGTTCTTAATTTTTTTTTGTTTTCTGTAGTTGAGTGATGGTTTTAACTTTTATCGCTAATATAATGTACTTGTGTACTGAATTTTTAGGCTACGAAATTCTCGTGGTTCACAACATTGGCATGAGAAAAAGTCACACCACGATTCACGGCGTTCTCCATCTGCCCCTGCACAAACTGGGAATGAAGATGCCCGTATCAAAAAGAACATAGTCGTTTCAAGTCTAAGTTCTGCTTCTCCTCCATTTTATCCTTCAGTGTCCTCGAGTAACTTGGTACATGGTATACAAGTTGGCATGGAAAGACTCCAGACGAATGAAAGTGCCACTCCTTCTGGCAAGAAGCTTAGGAATACAAAATCTGTTTATGTACCAGTTAATACTGCCCAGACTTTTCAGCCCACGAGTCAAGTTCGAGGAACACCTACTACTGGGAACGTGTTTCACCCCCAATCTCATAGTCAAGGTGGTAGATTTTCATCTCCAATGCAACTCAATGGAGATTCAAAAGGCACTAGCAAAAGCTACATTAGACCTTCCGGGCAGGATTTCGATCAGCACTCTGCTGTCATTAGACCAATGTCTTCCTCCAGCCAGATAACTAGCTCATCAGGAAATCGATATCCATCTGGTGAAATAGAATCTGCGTCGGATACAGGTGCACCATTTGCTAAGGGTAAAGGGACTCTCCAGGCTAGTGGAAGCGGCTCTTTGATGTATAGTGGATCTCAAGTGATGGGGCATGCTGAAAGTTTGGCATCTGGTGACAATTCTAATTTTCCAGCTTTTCTGCCTGGTAAGCTTATTTAGATGCCTCTTTTCTCTTATGCAATGGACGGGTTGAAATATTTTTTTCAGAATCAAATCATCCATGGTAGTTGAAATTGAATGCTGTTGTACTGAGCCACTTGGCTTGGTTTGTCCATGAATCTTATTGTCAGATTATTGTATCTAGTTACTATTGTTTTTGTCGTATATGACTAGTTCTAAAATTATTGTATTATTTTTCATGATTTAATTCAAATGCAGTTATGCAATTCGGTGGTCAGCATGGTGGTGTTCCAACTTTTGGAATGGCTTTTCCCGGATATGTCCAGCCTGAAAATGGGATCGGAAACCCGGAGATGACATGGTATGCTTTCTTCATCTCTTCTCGCGTACTTTTTGGATCCTGGTTTTCAGAACTTCTCGGTTGTAAGCATTTCAAAGATCTAGATAGTTTGCACATTGTTAGCTGGATGCGGTGTTTTTTCGTGATTCTGTATGCTGTCCCATTTAATTACCTTTGTTTGGGTCTGCAACTCTTCGTTAGAATGGTTAAATTTGAATACTATGCTGTTCCTATGCTCTGGGCTCTCCATCTATATCTATTTCCTGATTTGTTCTTTCCCCTTCTTGCTGTTGAGGTTTTTGTATCTAATTGGCAGGATGCCAGTTTTGACTGGTCCTGGAGCTCTAGGGGCTTCATATAGTCCACCATATACTGCTATTGATGGTTCCTACCAAGCGCATAAGCCAGGATACTCCAGGTTTTAGAAAATTAATTGCCATTTCTCTCATGTAGAGCTTTAATAACGCAAAACCATGTGATATTTACAAATTTTCCTTGTATTTTCCTCTTATTTAAACCTACTGCATACTCTTGGCACATATTATATATTTATATTTGCAAAGCATGCATTTGACGGTTGCTTAATCAAATTACCATTTTTGCAGCAGAGAGAATAGTACAAACAACCTTGATGACCTGGAGAAACCCATGGAGAGGCCTGGTTAGTCCTTTATCAATACTGGTCTATTAGGGAATAAATTTGCATTTGTTGGCTTTTTTGGAAGTGGCCAAGAGATTTAAAAGAAATAAATCATGAAAAGCTTGTCATGGATAACTAGTACAGATTTGTTTTTTTGACGGATATCGTTTAACAGGCACTTTTTCAAAAGTTGTTTTTTATTAGAATCCCGAATTGGCCAATTAAGGAGAAATTGAGCTGCTAATACGAAGATTGATCGATGGGATCGTTTTGTTTAAGTTAAGCTACTTTCCTTGGATGCAGAGTTTCCAGAGAGTGATGTTTCAAAACGGCAGAACAGCAATCCAAGCAAGCAGCCTCGGAGGTAAGTTTTTAGAAGTGAAGTTAACTCGGACCTAAAATTTTGGACTATGGAGCATGATGCATTATTATGTGTGCGGATTTGAGTTGAAGTAACTGTATTCATGGACCTGTTATTGAGTATCTATGTAGGATTCATGTAGAGTATCTAACTGTATTGGTGTTCATGCAGGTACTCGGAGATGAGTTTTAGCAAGTGAGTACAGTTATTTAAAGCTAAGAAGAAAGGTTAGGGACTCCTTTGCACAGGGCCCTGGTGCTACTCCAAGCTTCGTTGCAGCGCACTTTAAGCTGCAATTGTTCCTGAATTTCTTAGGTATGTATGCATGGGCTGTTAAGCTGTTTCATAATATTGAACTATATTCTAATTTAAATGAAGTGGAATCTTTGGGGTATGTATGCATGGGCTGTTAAGCTGTTTCATAATATTCAGTCATCTGCTTGTTTGGTAATACGCCATTTTTGACACTGTTTTCAGGAAACTCGTCGTCTCAAGCCTTGGTCAGCCAGTTGTGTTTCGTCTTCCCAGTTTTCGTATGTTGTTCATTCATATTTCTTAGACAAGGTTGATAACTTTATTTGAGTTTGGTAAATGTGTTTTCTCTTTATTTTGGTTTGGTAATGTGTTTTCTCTCTATAAAACGCAGTCCCTAAACAGGCTATGATATAATAAGAAGTGGTTAATGTTTGTGATATGTGAATTAATGCCAGTTACGTTTTAGGAATTCTTGCAACAATTTTCTTGATCGGCATATGTCTGGGTCGTGTTGCAGCGAAATAGTTGCCATTTTTATATTTTCTTCGCCTGTTGGTGACCCAAGTGTACGGGAAAAGGGCTCTGTTGTTGAGCCGGGACGATGCGACTAAATAAGCCGCACCTTGCTGAACTGGTCTGTAAAGAAAAAGGGAAAAATTTACGAAATTTTACAACCTAACAGGCTCCTACACAAGTCATCCACAGAACCACCTAGTCCAGACCATACTTCCAGTTAAAACCCTTTTACAGACCAATTAAAATATATAACCAGGAGGTTGTGGCTGATAAGTAGAGCAGAGACATGGAAGTTCATAGTACTTAAAACTGAATAACAATAGAAGTCATCTATGCATTCAAAAAAAAAAAAAATAGTAACAGTTTACTTTCACTTGAAAAAGCAACTCAGATATGAAAACTGATTTCACACAATGTTTGTTTTTTTGAGCCAGTCCTTAGTGCACAAGAGAGCTTCCAAGGTTCCACGCGGAAGAGAGCTCCTATAATTATCCATCTGCTTCACTTCTGTATCGTATACGGAATCAGGTGAGACTGTGCTAAAGGGGATGGAGAGAAGATCAGCAGCCATCTTAGAGAGGGTGGGGTAGTTGTGGCTGTTGAGTCTCCACCATCCTAGTACATCAAAGTCTTCTGACTTCAGAACCAAACTGTCATCTAGGTACTGATCCAGCTCTGGTTTCATCTCTGGTATGTCAATCTCAAAGTCTGAAAACGTTTCTCCAACTGTGACAAGAGTAGACCCTTCCTCTAGCAGCTCGTCACCCATAAATAGTGTCTGTTCTTCTTCCTCTGCTAGTGGATGTGCTTGACACTCTTCACTCACTGCTCCATTTTGACGTGCCTCTGTGATTTGCTCTGATTGTGGACTGGTCTCATCTCCTCCTGATTGTCCGTTACCTGTATTAGCATCTTGAGGCATGTCTTGTGGAAAGTGAGCTTCTTCTTGAACCACCTCTGTATCCGGAAAGCCATGATCCACATAAGAATCAAGCAGGTTGTAGTTTAGGTAGAGATCATGGACTGCATCACTGACAGTCTTGATCCATTGTTCTGCATCTTCACCATACAACTCAGTGAAGGTCTCCTTTATGTGTTGCATTTTGAAACGAGGATCCATGACTACAGCAACCGCCACCACCAGGAAGCATCCTCTCCAGTACAAGTCGAATCTCTCCCTCAACGAGTTCGCAAGGCTTTCTTCTTCACCCATGGCCATGTGGCTAAGCTCTAGCTGAAGCTTGGTCATCACATCGTAAAAATTATTGGCTGTCAAGTGGTTTGGCCTACTAGTCAAGACATCACTCGCTTCGAAAAAAACTTTCAAGCACGAGCATAGACTCTCAATCTTACTCCATTCTTCAGGAGATATTGATATCTTGTAACCAGGAAAACAGGTTTCCAGACAAGTAAACACTTGTCTATGTTCATAACCGGCCAACAACATCTTGTAACTTGTGTCCCATCTCCCTTGGTTATCAATAAGAAGATCTTTGTACACAAAATCCGTTGGAAACAGTCTCTTCACCTCATCAAATTTGTCTCCACAAGCATCGTTCGTCACAACACACTTAACACTGTCTCTGACTTTCTTCACCGCGGCTTGAAACTGCTCAGCTGCAAGCACATCCTTCGCCATACTAGTTAGAAGCCGAGCGTAGCATTTCCCCATCAACAACTGACCATTCAACACATGCTGGTTCCTAAAACACAAGTACCCTCTAAGATTCTCAACACAGGTTTTGTTCACTAACGTTTGGCTGACAGTGAGACTCGAAACTTTCCCCTCTAGCTTCCATTCAGATAAACAAGCAGCTATAGATTGATTCAACGCGAAATCCGAATCAAGAGAAGCAACAACAGAGACATTCAGAAGGTAATGACTCAAGTTCCAGTCTTTATCAACAAAATGTCCACTCACAAAAGCATAACCTTTTGATGACCACAAGTCAACAGTAAGATTAACTCCACCAGGTATCTCTCCAATAAACTCCAAAACTTTCTTCTTTTCAGACAAGAACATCTCAACACAATCACCATGAATAGTATCAAACCTTGGCATTCTAAACTGAGGACGAAGAGTCTCAACGAAACCATTAAAACCACGATGCTCCACCATATGGAGAGGGTAATCATGCATGATGATCATCTTAGCCATCTCATTGTTCCATCGATCTTGATCTAAAGCGACATTAGCAGCAGCGAGAGGAGATCTCTTCTGCTGCTGCTTCTTGGGAGTGGTTACATGACCCTTATTGGTTTCAGGGCAATTATCACAAATACCTAATTCAATGTGACGCTTTAGATGGCTTGTCCCTGAAGCTTTACCACCAGACACGTAGGCGTATGACTTGTTGCAATGGTTGCAAAAGGCTTTGGTGGTTCCAGAGGTAGTGGTGTTAGTGGTGAAGTGATCCCACACCATTGAATTCTTCTTCCTCCCGCGCTTGATTGGTTGTGTTTCCGAACATTCTATCTCAGCCGCAACGTTGTTGTTGTTCTCGACGTCGTCGGAAGGGTTTGGATCCATTGTCCTGAAACGGAACAGTTATGTGTTTTACAAATTCAACTGACAGAGGAGCGAAGACAGATCTATTAGATCTTAAATTAATCATGTCGGAGAAAACTATGTGGAAGAAAAAACAGGGAGGTTGTAATAAAGAGGAGGAGAGAAACTGATTGAATACTTACAGACACAGAGAAAGAGAGGAACGGCGGGAAGAATCAAACGCGAGTAATGGGCTTTGGAGAAGCTTCGGCTCGGATTTAGGGTTTTGAGCTTTTTTCTTTTTTTTTTTGGTGTCGGCCTGTTTTGTTTCACTTATATAAATGACGAAGATGGTTTTGTCTTTCTTCTATATTTTTAATCCATCGAATTATTACAGCCGTAGATTTAAAGATCTTACTTTAATCTGAACCCTCTATTTCGCTTTTTTCTATTTCTCAGTCATTGCCTTAAATAATCACAATTAAGAAAAAGAAATTATAGTTGAAGATAAAAAAGGAAATATAAATTTTGTTAGTAACAACAAAGTATTTTATAGGAAAGATATCTTCCCAGCTAATTTTTAGTAGAAAACTAATCTAAAACAAAAAAAGAGGATTATGAGAAAGCTGACTATCCTCAAGAGTCAAGACCAAAGAGCTTTGTTTGGGTCTTGCAACTCTGCATGGTAGAAAACTGAAAAAAAAGGAAGACGTAATTTCATTAGAAATGGTTACTTTCAATTTGAATACTATGCTGTTCGAATGCTCTGGGCTCTCCATCTATATATCTAGTTCCTGGTTTGTTCTTTCTCCTGCTTGTATATGATTGGACCATGGTGCATTATGTGCGTGCTGATTTGAGTTGAACTAACTGTATTCATGGACCTGTAGTTGAATATCTCTTTATATTAAGTTTTGTGTAACTGGATCCGGTCATGAAAAAGAATAGTTGCTTGAGTTGTCAACTTGTCATTGTTGGTGTATATGCAGTTACTAGGAGATGAGCTTTAGCAAGTGATTACAGTTGTGGCTGGCTGATAAGTAGAAGAAAGCTAGAGGGGAGACAGAAATTTATAGTCATTCATGAGACTAAATAACAATTAAAGTTATCTATGCAATCAAAAAATAAAATAGTAATACAGTATGCTTTCACTTAAAAAAGCAACTCAGATATGAATAAACTAATTTCAAAACTAACAAAACTAAAAACAGAGTTAAAACCTCAAAGATTTTCATAATGTTTGGTTTTGGAGCCAGTCCTTGGTGCACAAGAGAGCTTCCAAGGTTCCACGAGGAAGAGAAGTCTTATAATCATCCATCAGGTTCACTTCTGTGTCAAATACAGAATCAGGTGAGACTGTGCTGAAGGGAATGGAGAGAAGATCAGCAGCCATCTTAGACAGAATGGGGTAGTTACGGCTGTTTAGTCTCCACCATCCCAATACATCAAAGTCTTCTGACTTCAGAACCAAACTGTCATCTAGATACTGTTCCAGCTCCGGTTTCATCTCTGGTATGTCCATGTCAAAGTCAAACGATTCTCCAATTGTGACGAGAGTAGACCCTTCCTCAAGCAGCTCGTCAGCCATAAATAGTGTCTGGTCTTCTTCCTCTGCTAGTGGATGTACCTGACACTCTTCACTCACATTCTGCTGCTTCTCTACCTTAGGTTGTGTCTCATGTTGATGTGACTCTGTGGTTTGCTCTACTTGTGAACTTGTCTCATCTCCTGCTTGAGGCATTTCTTGTTGGAAGAGAGGTTCTTGAGCCACTTCTGTTACCGAAAAGCCATGGTCTACATAAGAATCTAGCAGGTTTGGATCACTGTAGCTAAGGTACAGATCATGGAAGGCATCAGTGACAGTCTTGATCCATTGTTCTGCATCTTCACCATACAACTCAGTGAAGGTCTCCTTTATGTGTTGCATCTTGAACCGAGGATCCATGACCACAGCAACCGCCACAACTAAGTAACAACCTCTCCAGTACAAGTCAAATCTCTCCCTCAACGAGTTTTCAAGATGGTTAAGATCTAGCTGAAGCTTGGTCATCACATGGTAAAAATAGTTTGCTGTCAAGTGGTTTGCCCCACTAGTCAAGACATCACTCGCTTCGAAAAGAAGCTTTAGGCACAAGCAGAGACTCTCAATCTCCCTCCATTCTTCAGGAGATATTGATATTTTGTAATCAGGATAACATGTTTCCAAACAAGAAAAAACTTGTCTATGTTCATAAGCTGCCAACAACATCTTGTAACTTGTGTCCCATCTCTCTTGATTGTCAATAAGAAGATCTTTGTAAGGAGTATCTGTTGGAAACAATCTCTTCAGCTCATCAAATTTGTCTCCACAAGCTTCATTTATCTTAACAAACTTAACACTATCTCTTACTTTCTTTATAGATTCTTGAAGCTCCTCAGCTGCAAGTACATCTTGCGCCATACTAGTTAGAAGACGAGCGTAGCATCTCCCCATCAATAACTGACCATTCAACACACGCTGGTTTCTAAAAGACAAGAAACCTCTGAGATTCTCAACACAGGTTTTGTTCACTAACGTTTGGTTGACAGTGAGACTTGAAACTCTCTCTTCTAGTTTCCATTCAGATAAACAAGCAGCAACAGGTTGGTTCAACGCGAAATCCGAATCAGGATAAGCCACAAGAGAAACATTCAGAAGGCAATGACTCAAGTTCCAGTTTTTGTCAACAAAGTGTCCACTCAAAAAAGCGTAACCCACTGATAGCTTTGATAAACACAAGTCAACACTAAGGTTAACTCCACCAGGTATCTCTCCAATAAACTCTGAAACTCTCTGCTTTTCAGACAAGAACATGTTGACACAATCTCCATGAATAGTATCAAACCTTGGCATTATAAACTGAGGACGAATAGCCTTAACGAAACAAGCAAAACCAGGATGCTCCACCATGTGAAGAGGGTAATCATGCATGATGATCATCTTAGCCATCTCATTGTTACATCGATCTTGATCTAAAGCCACATGACATCTCTTCTGCTGCTTCTTGGGAGGACAAGAAGTGGTTTCATCCTTGATTCGAGGGACTAGATTTGTGTTTGGACACTTTTCACAAATACCTAATTCGATGTGACGCTTGAGGTGACTTGTCCCTGAAGCTTTACCACCAGACATGTAAGCGTATGATTTGTTGCAGTGGTTGCAAAAGGCTTTGGTGGTTCCAGAGGTGGTGGTGTCAATGGTGAAGTGATCCCACACCATAGACTTCTTCTTTCTCCCGCGCTTGATTGGTTGTGTGTTAGATGATTCTATCTCAACAATAACTTTGTTCTCGACGAGGTCGCAAGTGTTTGGATCCATAGTGCTGAAACAGAGAAGAGAACATCGAATTATAATTCAACTAACAGAGCAACGAAAAAACGGATGAAGAAGATATGTGTAGGAGAAACTGATTGAATACTTACAGACGCAAAGAAGAGAGAGAGGGCAACGGCGGGAAGAATCAAACGGGTGTAATGGGCTTTTTGGAGGAAGCTTCGGCTCGGAGTTAGGGTTTTGAGCTTTTTCTTATGTCGGCCTGTTTCGTTTCACTTATATAAACACGAAGATGGTTTTTTTTTTTTCCATTTCTAATCTCTTAAAATTATTTCAACCGTAGATTTAAAGATCTTACTTAAATCTGGACCCTCTTTTTCTATTTTTTTTCTGTCATTGCCTTATAAACCACAATAATAAAAGGAAATAAAAATTTTATTAGTAAACAACAAATAATATAAAAGGAAAGATATCTTCCGGCTAATAAAAAAAAAGGATATATCCAATCCAACGTATATTGAAAAAAAAGATTAAGACGGCTAAGTAAACTGTAACACACGAGTTAATCAAGAAAATATTAGATAGTTATTCTTCAAGGAAAGGGAGCAACAGGGTTTGCCTAAAGGGATCGTTCCATAAGAGCTATTCTTTTGTAAGTTATGATCTTCACCTCTTTAATCTTACTATGTAGTTCTAAGCATGATGATTAAAAAACAGAAACAGACTAAATTGCTTAACATTAACAAACACACACAAAAGTACAAAGAGTCTAATGATAATTATGAACTGAACTACAGAGAGAGAGAGACATTAGTTCTTCTACAAGCACATACAACAACAACAACCACTCATAATGTCAATGCTACTACATCTGAAATCAGAAAAAACACAACAAACTCTTCTTACACGTTCTGTGCTCTATAGGTCTTTCAACAGCTCACGGACGCTGCAGCACCCTGAACTTGATTCGCCTCTCCTCCGCTTCTCTTTGTCTCTTCCCCCTTCACCTCGTTACTCTTCTCCTCAGCTACAGCTTCTTGTGTTCCATTCCCCTTGTTAACTTCTGCGTCAAGGTTAGGCTCACCATCTGTCTTCTTCTCGTCAGCTTCTTTGGTTTCATTTCCCTTAGTAGCTTCTGCATCTGCATCAAGGTTAGGCTCACCATCTGTGTTGTTCTCGTCAGCATCTTTGGTTGTTTCATTTCCCTTATTAGCTTCAGCATCAAGGTTAGGCTCATTCTCTTTTCCGTTAGCTTCTGCTGCTACGCTGCCCTTGTTCTCAGTCTCTTTCTCTGCAGGCTTAGTGTCCTTGAGGTCTTCAACTTTGGCAGGTTCTTCAGCTATTCCTCCACTCTCAGTCTTCTTCTCACCCTCAGAGGTATCCACTTCCATGGGCTCTTTCTTCTCCGTCACAGCTTCTCCCTCCTTGTTCTCCTCCTCAGTCTTCTTCTCCACCTCAGAGGTATCAACTTCCATGGGCTCTTTCTTGTCTCCCTCTTTGTTTTCAGCCTCACTCTTTTCACCCTCCTTGTTCTCTTTCTCAGCCTCTGCCATTTCTGCTCCACCCTCCTTCTCAACCTCAGTCTTTTCACCCTCCTTGTTCTCCTTCTCAGCAGCCTCTTTGTCCTTCTTAGTGAGAGAAGAGCGTCTCTTCTTCATATGAGGTTCTCTCTCAGGAGTGGGCGTTGTAGCCTTCACCTTCTGGCTGATCCTTGAAGACCTCCTTGGAGTTTCACCAGTAGTCCAGTCAAACTCAGAGATGACAGGATTCCCAGGATGAGCCTTGAGGTACTGCTCAAGCTGCTTGCGTGAGCTAATCTCCTCACCCGTTGGAGCCATGAACACAATCTCTGTCTTCCTCGGTGTACCTGCTCTTTTCGGATAAAACTGAAACAAACCAAGCTTTACATTACTCACATAATACATAGCATGAGCTTAGCCTTAACACATGACTACTCCAGACACAATCTATAAAAAATCCCCAATTTCTATCAACCAATTATAGGGTTTTCAGTAGCATTTTCATCAGAAACCCTAATTTGACTCCCAAGAAAGCTTTAATACACATGGAATTTAACATAAAGATCCAAAACACACAGTCTATAGAAAAAGCCCCAAACTTTATCAACCAATTCTAGGGTTTCAGTAGCATTTTCATCAGAAACCCTAATTTGAATCCCAAGAAAGCTTTAATACACATGGGATTTAACATAAAGATCCAAAATACAGAGTCTATAGAAAAGCCCCAATTTTTATCAACCAATTCTAGGGTTTCAGTAGCATTTTCATCAGAAACCCTAATTTGATTCCCAAGAAACTCTATAAGCTTTAAATTATCATCTAATTAGAAAATTCCCACATGGAATTCAAGATAAAGATCCCAAACCCAACTCAAAAACATGTTATTTCAGTAAATTCCCCAATTCAAACATAAACCCTAGACCAAGCAAAATAAGCTACAACTCAAAACAGAAAGCAAAGCAGAAAAGAGAACACTCTTACAGAGACTGATATCTTGTAAGTAATTACAAGCAGAAATTTCAAAAAAAAAAAAAAGAGAGAGAGAGAGAAAAGAAGATACCAGTTTCTTCCATGAAGCAGGAGCTGGTAACTCAATAGACACGAGCTCGTCTGTGTTCTCCATCTTCGTCTCTCTTCACCTGACACACAAACAGACTCTCTTTCTCTCTCACTATAAAAAAACCCTTGTTATCTTTAACACAAAGGTTACGACTTTATTTCCTTTCTGGTAAATAAAAACTGATGCAAGAACAACCCTTGTGACTAATGGATATGTTTGCGTGTCTCTTCTGTTTCTGTCTTTTTTCTTTTTTTAATATTCTTTTTATTTTCTAACTAAAAAAACCCTTTCACCACGTAACACACGAGAGCGTGGATCTGATAGATTTACATGATAGTTAAGTGACAGACCTGTTTGAGATAGACACGTGTCCTATTTAGCCGACGTTTTCATCAGTGGATAAGGTGTGGTGGCATCTATTTTCCCGCTTTCTTATGGAGTGTGGGGTTGAGGTCCGCTACGTGACCGGCGAATATGCTTTTCTTCTGTTTATTCCCTCTCCTCTCTATTTAAAATAAGCCCAAGCTAATGGGCCTGAATATTTAACCGGCCCATAACTATTTTTATAATTTCTTGAAAGTGACTTAGGTTCAGATTCTTTCTTTTGAAGTTATCTATACTATTATTTGCGAAGTAATTTTTCGCAACGGAGCTCTCACGTTAAAAGTTAGAGCGGTTAATATCGTTTATACCCTTAATGAATAATTAAAAATTTCAATATATAATTAAACATAAATAAAAAACGAATTTCAATTGATTTTAGATTTATCTTTATCTAAAACTATTTTATATTAGGTTATAAGGTCTTTATTAACCTTAAAAAATAATTATATTTGTTAATATATATTTAATTATAAATTAAAAACGAGTTTCATTTATTTGATAATTATCCTTATTTAAAAAAAATTATATTTATGTTTATCAACCTTGAAAAATAATTATATTTGTTAATATATAATTAATTCTAAATTAAAAACGAATTTCATGAATTTGATCTTTATCTAAAACTATTTTATATTGGGTTATAAGGTCTTTATTAACCTTGAAAAATAATTATATTTGTTAATATATATTTAATTATAAATTAAAAACGAATTTCATTTATTTTATAATTATCCTTATTTTAAAAAATTATATTATGTTTATCAACCTTGAAAAATAATTATATTTGTTAATATATAATTAATTCTAAATTAAAAACGAATTTTATGAATTTGATAATTATCCTTATCTAACTTTTTATATTATGTTATAAAGTCTTTATTAACCTTGAAAAATAATTATATTTGTTAATATATATTTAATTACGGAAAAATCAATTTGCAAAGAATATATGTATAGATAATTTATATTGTGTTATCCAAAACATTACTAAATTTAATTTTATTATACTTCTTTTTGTTATGTCTAGAAAACATATTAATGTATTACTAAATATTTTAAATTTATGAGAATTTCACATTTAATTTGTGCAATGATATTTATTTATATGATGATGAAACATTTTATATATAGAAAGAATCTATTTAGATTATTATTAATTTTTTTGAGTGTATGCATAATAATTTATTATAATTTACTTAAATTAATTATATATTTGTTTATAGATATTAGTAAAATTATTAAGCCCGCATGTGCGGGCAAAACACCTAGTATGTCAATAATAGTTAAATGCATCCACAATATATTAACAAAAATCACAGATTAGTAATATGGAATATTTATATACCCTAACAAAATTTACCCGCTATATATATTAGACAAAATTTATTTCGATGTAAGTTTTTTAAATTATATTGTTTTAGAAAAAGAAAATTTTCAAAAAAAATCTTTTTTAATAAAATTCTTTATAATATTAATTTATGAAGCTATAAGTTTAGTTTTTAGCAAAAATTTCTTTGAAATATATATTATCTTTGCAAATTAAAGTATACTAATATTTAATTAAGCTCTATTTATGTTACTTTATCTAAAAATGAAATACTAATCTAACAAACAATAAAATATAGAAGAAGAAACAAACACATGTTTGAAAAACATGTATAATATAGAAAATTTGAAACAATCTATTTGATTAAAACACTTATTATATAATATTATATTATGTTTGAAAAAAATTTAATATACATATCGTAAATATGTGATTACTATAATATATACCAATTTACAAGTGAAAACAAAATGTTTATATATCTAGCTATAAACGAAAACAACCACCCGCGCGGTTGCGCGGATCGAAATCTAGTCCACACAAATAAAGAAGGTACATATTCTTCTTTTGTAAGCAATATCTAATCCAGTGAAGCATTGACCCTACCATATAATTACAAAAGCTTAGGTAAGCCGGACAGGAGACACAAGACATGTCTTACTGTCTTAGATTTTGAGATAATGATTGGTCAAATCAAGACATCAGTATTAAGCCTCTCTAGACTGAGAGATGGGTACAACAAGGGATTTTCTCATTGAGCCACATTCCAGGTTTCTAGATCAAATTCCAAATGAAAGATGATACTACAACAAGGGGTTTCAGAAATCAAACCAAAACCGAAAAAAGAAAAAAAAAATCTTAAATGACTCGGAACCATTGTGTGTGTATAAGTGTGCTGTCTTTCATGTCTTGTTCATTAGTCATATAGACCTTCTTGTTCCCAAACCTCAACTAGAAAATCCACCATTTCCTGTTTTTGATGATTAGCAATAGAATTAACTCACAGACACAGGGAGTTTCCTTTACTGTCTTTACCCGAGAGAGTGTGATTAAGTACACTTACATTGAGAGGAATGGGTTGAGGAAATAACTTGTTGCTCCCAAGTAAGCTATCATACGATGCTGTGTTCCAACTGCATATAATGGAAATACAATATGGTTAAAAGTTTTCAAACTTAGAGGAGAGAAAAGTGTGTATTACTTAATCCAGCTATTTACTTTATCTTAGCTCCTTGACTAGGATCCGGTGGGTTATTATGTTTTTCCTTGCCCACCCAACGCTCCCGGGTCTGATTCCAAAGAAGAAGACCTGCAAACACACACACACACACACACTTCATATATAACCATTTCAAAACACTATGACCATACTCGTGCATCCACAAAGTAGGTACCTTGATTTACAAATTCCGGAGGGGGATTTAAGTTTCTAGCACCAGACTGAGAATCAAAAGTATGGTTAGATGATGATATACTCCCCTGAGAAGGGAAGGTAGTGTTGTCCATATCAACTGTGCTAGTTGACCAAAAATCTTCAGAGACGTTTGGTTTCTTCTTAAACTTTTTAGCTGTGGAATTGAAAGGTGGATCCTTTAGAGTTTCAGTTGGTCTAGGTTCTCTGTAGCAAGCCAGGCAACCACTGCACTGTACAAAACACACAACTTCTCATCATCATCCCCCAAACATCCTTACTAACTATTGTTTTCTTTTTTCAATTCATTGTTTTTTATCTATAAACAATCTTAATTAGGGTTTTATCTATCATGAACTCATCAACTAGAATCTCATATATGCATTAATCAAACTCTAATAGTTTCTGAATAAACCCAAAAACAGAGACTGGTAAGGAGAATCGCACCCCATCGATTGAAGTAAACGGAGCACCGAAAGATCTGGAAAGGTTGAGACTTTATCAACTGATATGAGTAACACCTAATCAAACCTAGAGATAATCCAAACAAAACTAATATGAGTAATAATTACAAAAGTTTAGAATCTATGGAATAACTTACCTGATGATAAAGTCTTTCCTTTTTTTATCAACTGGGCAGCGAAAGAGTCCTTCTTAAGCTGAAGCTTATTGAGGAAGAAGAAGGAGGGCTCCTCTCCTCTGCTCTTTACGTTTTGCCCTTTTGTTTTCGCTTTAGCTTGACCAGAGAAGGTTATCGTTCATCCCTTCAGCCGTTATACGGATCCCCTCTCACTAAGGCTATTTTTGTCAATTTACATTATCAACTAAACCATATTACTCGTGAATTTATTATGTCTTGTATAATTATGAATATCGATAGTGTGTTTGGTGTGAACTGATAATTGAAAAAAGTCAAAATAATTGTGTGTCTTCCTCCATTGTACTTGATCCCACATTAACCATACAGCTTGTAATTGTAATTAATCCGAGTGTTTTATCAGTTAAATTTAATTTAATTTATTATTCGTTTTGATTAATATCAGTAAACTACGAAATAAATCACAAATTCATTATTTTTAATAAATAATACACAACTCTTTTGATGGCTCATAGTAAAAAAAAATGGTAAATCAACAATAATATTATGTTCTTTTGATGCGCTAACATTTTTTATAAGATTAACATTTTAATATGAAATCAATTTCTTATTATTACATCATTAGTAAAATAATAATCCCCTTATTATTAATAGAGAAGCAAATTTAAAAAATAACCTTTGTTTTGTAATATATTTACACCTCTGACATTTGCTGAGTTGTCAATAGGATAGCTCTTCTCAGCTAATGTTTAAATCTATCCTTGGTTATCTAGAGTAATTACAAATGATGCCACTGGTAACATTAATATAAAATATAAAGTTGGTCATACATAAATAATGAAATCGTATGATCCCATCATATTATTAGTGGTCTCTTTCACACTTGATTATACTTCTGTCTTCGATTATATATCCTGCACAAGAAAATGAATATCAGTTGTCATACCGGTGTACACTTCTTACGTGAAACTTACAGCATAGGTAAGTACCAACTTTAATTTTTTTTCTAAAACATAAATGTTAATGGTTTGAACCTACTATCTCCATGATAGGGAGACAAATTTTGCTGTATTTTATTGTATCAATTTTATTTTTCAAACCACCCAGATTATATGCATCCCCTTCTTATTATTTGAGGAGAATTTTTGCAAATAAACATTTATTTCATGTGTTTATTACATGCATGCCATTTCCTACGTGGCAACTCCACAAGCCTTCTCACACCTTTTAACTAAAAGACCTTAGTTAACTAGAATAATTACACAACATGCCATTGATATAAATATACATATATGACATATATGATATAACAATAAAGAACTTGATATACGAACAAGCACTAATGCAAAATCTATGATCATTCATTGAATAAAAATATTTTCTTATATACGATACGATATATTTTGTTACAAACAAAAAAATAAATTTTATATATTTCCTTATATACGATACGATATATTTTGTTACATAAGTATGATATGTTTCCTGATATAAGTATTTTGTTACATGTACGATATATTTTATGTATATCATTTTCCATGTAAATATTGTAAATGTAAAACATGCATATAGAATGATTTTGGTACATGTTATTGTACGATTTATTCAAATTCAAAATATATTTCGTTACATAAGTATAAATAAAAATAGGAAAAAAATGCGACCTTATTTCATAATTAGGCATATATTTAAACTTTAAATATAATATTTTATATTTTATAAAATCAAACTTTATATTTTATATTTTGACAATATTCAAAGTACAAAATACTATTATCTTCAACTTCAAAATATATTTCGTTACATAAGTATAAATAAAAATAGGAAAAAAATGCGACCTTATTTCATAATTAGGCATATATTTAAATTTTAAATATAATATTTTATATTTTATAAAATCGAACCTTATAAAATATTTCGACAATATTCGATGTACAAAATACTATTATCTTCAACTTCAATTAACATTAATGACCGAATCTGCATGCGTATTTCTGTTTCCCTTATATGCACTAATCATTGATGTTATTGTATGCGAATATTGAATGATTATATTTCATACATCGTCGAATGTCAACTAAAATTAATGACCGAATCTGCATAGATATTTCTAATATTGAATGAATATATTTTAGTCACATAATTTTAGCAACTAAATCTCAGAATTTTTTTATTAGGTAAACGGTTTAATGGTTTCTTTCCATTTGAATGTCAATCAGCTATATATAATATTCTGAATTAATATTTTATTTCATAATTAGGCATATATTCTATTTCAGTCACATAATTTTAGCAACTAAATCTCGGAATGTTTTTATTAGGTAAACGGTTTAATGGTTTCTTTCCATTTGAATGTCAATCAGCTATATATAATATTCTGAATTAATATTCTATTTCATAATTAGGCATATATTTAAAGTTTAAATATAATATTTTATATTTTATAAAATCGAACTTTATAAAATATTTCGACAATATTCGATGTACAAAATATTATTATCTTCAACTTCAATTAACATTAATGACCGAATCTGCATGCGTATTTCAGTTTCCCTTATATGCACTAACCATTGATGTTATTGTATTCGAATATTGAATGATTATATTTCATACATCGTCGAATGTCAACTAAAATTAATGACCGAATCTGCATAGATATTTCTAATATTGAATGAATATATTTCAGTCACATA